ATAATAATAATAATAATAACAATAACACCAATAATAACAATTGTAATAATAATAACAATAACCATAACACAGATAGCACTGTAATATAATAAAGGTAAAGACAACAAGACTAAGGCTACCAGCAAACACTATATAGTGCGGACTGTGCGATGCTTCAGTCTCACAAAACCTAGTGCCGGTGCAAGCCGTGCGTACTCAAGATGCTGAGAAAAAGGAAAACTGTGCTGGAATGGTGTGCCATACACTGCAGTCTTGTGTTATGACGTAACATGCAAAAACACGGCAGTGCTGGATGAGTTGCGTGATTTAGTGAAACGAAACACATTTTAAAAAAATCATTTTGAGTGCTTGTAGAGCTAGAACTATAAGACAAATCTACGGGCAGGTTGGAAGTACTGTGGCACCTAACATCGGCTAATAGCACCTAACATCAACTAAAACAGACACCCCCCCCCCTTAAAAAAACAACAAACAAACAAACAAACAAAACAAAACGAAACAAACAAACGAAAAACCAACAACAAACATAACGAAAAAAAAAGAAAAAAACCGAACAGAAACTAAGAACCAAAAACAAGTACAAGAAGAGCGACTACTGCAACAACTTAAGTTTTTACAAAATTGATAAATACAAAAATAAAAGAAACAAAAGCTTTGTAAAGACGATCGAGCAAATAAATAAATAAATAAATAAATAAATAAATAAATAAATAAATAAAGACTCAGCACATTCTGTTTGACAAACTAATCCCATAAGCCACCTAGACCTGATCTATAAACTCCTATCTGACATTCACACGCTGTGTATTCCAGTGGGCAAAAACATTTACATTTGATATACATTAAAACAAAAATAGTGATTGAGCCTTGACCCCTGGGGGAACTGACCTTTGCCCTTGCGCGGGAAAAGTCTCATTTCATTTTGACGAACCAGAACTAGACAGACGTAAAAATGTGGGTGGTTGGCGGGTGCTCTAATGTGGTTTGCTCCTTCTTTCCTATATCAAACATCTATCGTCCTTATCTCTCCCCCTTCTTTTTGGTGTATGTCAGTCTCTTGTAACACATCTATTCTTCAGCACTTATATATGACCTTACTGTGTTGCAAGAGCCATAAAATCACAACAAAAACTTCGAAAAAGACGTAAAATCTTCTACACCAAGGAGGGACACACCGCACCATCTCTCTATCTAGCACACAGACAGTAAAATAAAAGACACACAACTAAACGAACAAATCTAAACAAACAGAAAGCGACGACAGTAACTGACAATATTCTTTCTACTGCGTGAGGGACTCAGTCCCATTTCTGTGTACACAAAATGAAACAAACAGAAAAAGAACCCAAAAAAACAAACAAAAACAACAACAACCAAAAAAACAAACAAATGAACAAAAATCTCGATTATCTAGGGATAACTAAATACACTCACACAAAAAGTCAACACTGGGGGCGGTTCTGATTTTTAGAATTGTGTTTGAAAAGGAATATTAAAAAAAAAAGGAAAAATAATAACTAAAAAGTAAAAGTAAAAACGAGAAGTAAACATCAATCATTTTTTCTTGTACTGTTTCTTCGCTAACAAAACAAGAACAAAAACACAAGGAAAAAAAAAACACGATAAAGCACACAAAAAGTTAACCAAGCAATTAAAGATTAATTTAAAAAAAAAAAAAAAAAAATGAAAAATGAAAAATGAAAAGCAAAAGCACACTGGTGAGGTGATCAACGAAACAAAACCAAACAGATTCGTACATTACTGCGCATAGGGGGCGGGGCAAAGAGTGGGGAAACCCGCATTGGAATCTGCGCAGAGTGAGAATATACGCAAAACGGGGTTATCACAAGGGACAGAGGTATATATATATGCGTGAGCAAAAACAGAACAAAAAAAAGTTTTAAAATTTTTTTTAAAAAAATGCATGGATGAGGATGGTAGTATGACTATAATGGTGGGTGGGTGGGTGGTGGGTGTTAGTGAGTGAATGAGTGAGTGAGTGAATGAGTGAATGAGTGGGTGAGTGAGTGAGTGAGTGAATGAGAGAGTGAGTGAGAGATAGATGAAGGTGGAACTATACACAAGCAATGCTCAGAGGTTTGGCCCAGAGAGAGGAGCGAAGACAGACTCATGCAGTGCCGAGTGAGAGAGGGAGCGAGACAAGCTGGAGAAAGATGGGAGAAGACAGGAAGGACAGAAAGAGAGAAAGAAGAGAAACGAAATGATTAGAGAGAAAACATTTTAAAAAGAACAGAAGAAAGAAAAGAAAAGAAACAAATGAGAGAAGACGACTTTTGGAGAAAAAATGATGAAGAAGAAAATAGAGAGTAATAGAGAGTGAAAACAATCCCCGTGCTCCCTGTCTCACCTACCACGATGACGTGGCATTGAACGTTAAGGCTTTTCCTTCTTCTTTCTTTTGTTCTTTAAAAAACCCGAATGTGCATAAATTATAATATCAGTTTCTTTGCTGGGAACAAACCTTCAAATTGTACCACAAAAAGTCTGCCTGTCTCCATCTAGATATTCTGAACTTTTAAGTTTTTCTTTTTTGAAAAATGATGTCCTGCATCAATCAATTTCTTTACAATTATTGTTTTTGAACATTAAAAAAAGATACCAGTTTCATGAAAGACAGAGCCTGAAGTGACAAATAAACATATTATTTGTAGACACAGAACAAAAATGATATTTGATTTTGAAATAGACAAATATACATCCCAGTTTACATGAGAAAAATGACCTTGTGTGAGTGTGTGTTGTAAGAAAGTGTATTTGTGTGTGTGTGTGTGTGTGTGTGTGTGTGTGTGTGTGTGTCTA